ATTAGAGGGTGAAAAGTGGTCATATTTTGTGCGGTAATACATTATTTTTTTAAAATAAGTGAAATTGACCCAATTAAGTGCTTGATTATGATTTGAGTATATGTATTTAAAGTTATGAAGGTGATTAAGATTGATATAAATGTGTTAAAAGGCTAAAATTTGACTTAAAACTTGGGTGCAGTTTTGGCTAGATTGGAGCATTTTTTTTAGGATATTACATTTAGAACTGTAAATGCTGTAAAATCTTAATTAATTGTTGAATTTTCATGAAACTTGGCATGATGTCTCTACTTATGCTCTAGATTGACAAACAGTGTGAAATATTGTAAAATCAAAAAAATGCTTTTCCATATTGGGTACATTCCACTAATTATTTTTAGAATCGGTAGAAGAAAGTAGTGCAGAAAAAATTCCAAGTTCCTTAACCCCCTTCCCCGCAGTCACGCATTTTAACGCATATACCATTTCCTATTTCTAACGCAAAATCACGCATATACCGTTTCCACGCAATCACGCATTTTCACGCACTTTAAAATATTCATTTAATCTTAAATTAAATGTCAATTTTCTTCTATTCTATACTTGCAAAAATCTCATAAAATAAGAAAAGTTATTTTTGTATTAAAATATAACGTCAGAATATTATTTCGCTAAACTTTAGAGAAACGTGTACCACGCTGAAGAGTGCTTGCGGGGAAATGGTAAATTTCTACTTCTATGACTGGACATTAAGCGTATGTTGCATAACAGTTCAGTAAGTTGTAAAGAGTTAATTTGCAGACTTGCATAAAAAATCAAAGTACTGAAAGTACTGAAAAGCGGTTAGCATGCTTTCATCGAATATGTACAGTGTACAATAACAAAAAATGCATTGATTGATGATATTAAAGTAGGCATGCATATTTTTTTCCAGTGTCATCAGCGAAGAAGCAGACACATTGAATTTTGTAGTACTTAACTAAATGGTATAACCAATAACATCCCAGACTGATGTCACAAATGTTTGTTTCAAAATATCAACCTGAGATTTTCAGTTTGAAAGACAGGAAGTTCAATTTCAAAAATTTCTCCCTAATTGTCTCCATTGGTGGCACCCAAAAGTGCTCAGAACGAAAAAAAATTATGTTGATGTTGCAAATTTAATTGGCTTTCATGCTCTATTGATTCTGAAATTAGGTAACTGTAAAGGCTACTATAGCAAACAACTCAAAAAGAAAATAAAATGATAATTCAAATTCTTTAGATAAATTGATGTGGAGTACTGTACATAGATCTTTAGCTGGCTAGTCTGAGATAAACGGATGGACGACCAGAGAAATAATTAATTTCAGAGGGCTTCAGTTCGTAGGTGCACTGCGGGTCAGCAGGTGTGACCTGTCATTGGGGATGCTTACTTCTCCTAGGCACCGGATATTTCAAGGATCCGTTTTTCTTTTGAGACCGATCACTGTTCATTCTGTATTTTGATACAGATACTGAGTACATCTGTTTATTAATATTATGAACTATTTCTCTCACAGGAAGAAAGACAAGTAAACAAGATATTAAAGTTTTAAGAAATGTACATTATTGAGTTTTCATACAATTAAATGTTCAAATAAGTAAATGGTATATGACAATTATTTAAAAAAGAGTCTTGCACGATATGTATAAACGAACATATACTGAGTATTAAGCAAATATTTTTCATGAAATATTTAAAAAAAAAACCCGTGTGAAAAGGAAAGTTGTTGTTTAATCCATCAATACTAGTATTTTAAAAATTCAAAGGTTCACTAAAAGTCAGTGTATAACAAACAATTAAATTGTCCATTGCAAGAATTACCTAGGTATCATTGTCACTTTCTTCAATATGTCGCATAAGCAATACATTGTTTGTTTTTTTTTTTTACTAATAACAAGTATGCGATTTTCTATCAATATGTCTGTAATCATCTGTATTTTAATTTTTATTTCTTGTCAAAGGCTCAAAATGATAATTAACAAATTGGACAAATTCAAATTTAAAAAGTATTTTTACAACTTATACCTTGCATAGGAATTTAGCAAACTTTCCAAAATAATCATTCATTAGATATAATTTTCAATTTGTGCTTATCGTCAAGATTTTTCATGCCTCTTTTTTCTGTGCATATTTTATATCGGCTGATTTTGAGAAAAGGATCAATTGTCGATTTAAATTTTTTTCTCCAATTTTTAAAAATTAATTTTAGTATTTTCAGGCTCCCATTATTATTATTTTTTTTTAAATAAAAATGTGATCGTTTAAAATCGTTTGTAATAATTAGACTGAGTATAGAATTTATCCCTGGAAACAAAGCTTTTATCATCTTTTAAATAATTTCAATTGAGAAAAAAAGGAGAAGAAAACAAACGTTTCATTATGGAAGTAATCCATTACTGTACAACTTACAGATGTATTCAGTATTTTTATATAAAGACTTTCTTCGTGTACTAGTATTACTTAAGTTAATTAAAGGGATGCCTTAATATTTTGGAAAATGAAACTCGATCGAGAGATTCTCCGATGTTTTGCAGTCGGTAATAAGCTTCAACCCCTTTAGCCAGTAATTAACCCGTCCTCCCTGTGCCCAGTAGCATAATTCGGTCAAATATTTATTGTTCATGAGGGGTGCCTTATAATTAATCACAGGCACCCGAATTTTTATCAGTAAGTCTCTAAATTAGCCAAATATCGAAACATTCTACCCCTCTATATATAAATACACAAGGTGTCCAATGCCATTTTGACCACCTGTTCGATTCAGGCTTCAATTTAACACATAAATCGGAAATGCCTACTGGTTTTCGTGTAGCATTGGGTTCAAATATGATATTTCTCGCTATACATTTCTTCCTAAAGTTTAAATCTGACGCGTTGATAATGTTATCAGCTAAACTTCATGCTGACTTTGAATTCGTCACAGGTCCCGATCGCCATCAGCTGACGTCACGGAAATTTAATCTCGACACCAAATGCTCCTATACATAAACTTTTTCAATACAACAATTATAAATTTATTTCATTGACAAAAAAAAAAATCAGAAAAAAAATAAAAAAAACCCGAAAGATTATGTTGTTTTGATAGTCTTGATTTTATTTAACATATGTTATATGTGTTAGAAACAAATCATAGGTACTAGGTATATAGAGGCTTTGTTGAAGTTTCCGTTGTAGATAGGTAGCGCCTTATGGAAGTTTCCGGTGTCGATAAAAATCGGACACATGCCATAAAGCGGTTAGCGAAGCTAACCGCTTAAAAATTGGGCAGATGTACTAAACTGAGCCTCACATTGTTGATAAAAAGTATCTTTCCTACCAAAAAAAGCTTTGAAAATGTAATTTATCAAGAAGATCAGCCGAATTATTTTGTGTATTATAACGCCAGTTACAATTCTGAAATTCACCTACTTTCACTTTCATTTTTAGAGGTTTCCGCAGACAGACGCATTTTGCCGGAAAACGAATCTGACATGCCACCTCGAGATTTTAACCAAGGAAAGACAAGTTGATGTGCTTTGATTTGAGGGGTCACTCACTTCTGAACGAAAATTAGGGACATCGCTATGAGAAGAAACGTTAACATTGTCGCCTATGGGAAAACAATTAGTGGACTGTACCCAAATATTCTATGCTTTATTATATTCATGTGCATGATAAGGGAACATTATAATAGAAATTAATTTGGAAAACTTAACGTACACTGCACTGAACTTTATTGAACAGAGCATGATGGAAAAAACAAATCATACACATGTACCCTCACTGAGGAAGAAAGAATCATCCTGTATTCCAGTGGCCGACTCTATTTTTTTTTAAAGCTAATCCTATTTGGCGCCAAACGATTAAAATATTGCGTCTTTTCTGCGGAATTTAAGGCTCTATTAAACAGGCGTGATAGCTTCGATGAAATTTTAAAAAAAATATATGTTCTTCTAGCCAGAATTTAGAGCACTGGAAAGAAAGTATATTCATCACATTGAAGATATAACAAATGGTATGTGGGCAAATAAAACTAAAGCTACATATCATATTTTCCTATTTATCCCAAGGTCGATTTTCCCCATTAGTTATTCATTCATAAAAGGACTGCAATGGGATTTAACCAGGGGTGTCTGCTTGTCAATCCAATATTCCCTTCACATTATATTGATCATTTTCATTTAACAAATTGCTCGGCTGCCCCCTCCCCCCCCTTACCATCACCACACACAAACACTTCACCTCCACCACCAACACCACCACTTTAAATTTAGCAATGTGAATATCTAGATTTTCGATTGATCAAATTTTCAAAGAAAAATATATAAATTAAGTTTTCTTTAGAAGAGTTTCTATAAGCTCTGTAAATATATATCGAAGAAAAATATTAGAACGCACAAAAGTTGAAAAGAAATCAATTTTTTTTTAAATTTTCTTACTCGTAGCGTTTACAGTACTAACGTCGGTCGAGAAGGAGCCAGCACACATTTAGAAGTCTAGTTTAATTATCTGTAAGAAATCACTTATTCAAATGTTTAGCCGTTCTCTGGTACAATTGGCGTCGAAATTTTATTTTTTTTACTCAGGAAATTGTCCATCTTGCGGTGCTGGGAAAAGTAAAAAAAAAAACAAAATTAATTTAAAGACCTTCATTCTTGAAAATTTCATTGAAATCTAGTGTATAGGTACTATTCTTTCTTGAGACATTTATATTAATTATAATCTCACACGATGAAAAGCAATACATTCTACAGTGATATAAAACATTATACATATGTTCATGAGCAACACATCAAATGCTGATTTATTGTTACTTTCATACAAAATTGTTGGTCTGCTATAATTCTTTTGTCTTAAATTCTAACTGTTGAAGCATTTGAGACATCCTTATAGTTAAAGGTAAATTGTTCCACAATACTGAACCTAAATACTGAAAAAGAATTTTAATAACTATTTAAGTTTTGTTTCTTGGAAAACACAAGTCAAATTGAGATTTAAACCTTTTTAAATGGTAAAAATTAGCTGATTGGTAATATTTTATATATTTTTTAAAAGAAAACTCACATACATTCAAATGTAAGCACATAAAATTTCATGTTAATGTACAAACTCATACACTATCATTTCACGCTAAAGAGCATCGTCATAAATTGATTGTTGATCTAGATCTTCGTAAACTTCACTATCTTCAGCATCATCAATGATCTTTGGATCAGGTGTTGGAGGATTTGTTGGCAATTGTATTGTGAAATTATTTTGGTTCTTCTTTCTTTTGCACCCATTTCTAGTACACTTCCTAAAATGTGGGATTTTTTAAATTAGTCAAAATTCTAGAAAAAAAGAATGATGGTTGATGACATTCTCTCTCCCAAAAATAGAAACCTGATCAAGTATAAAAATAAATGGAGAATATAAAATCAAGCTCACCAGAGTACTAAAGCGAGGTTTAAGCCAAAACTTATGGAAAAAGACGCTATCACTCCAAACAGAAAGACTTTGGATTGCTTCCATGTAATAGAATCTGGTGATCTTATGACTGTAATAAAACAAACATATGCATTCCAGTCAAAATCTGAATTTAAGGTAATTCCACCCTCACAATTCGTATGGTTCAAAGTACAAAAACTACATTTATTTTCATTTAATATACTTTCTAAGTTTCCAATCATTACAAAAATGTATAGGTCACCATATCGTTAAAGACGGGAGGCAAAAATAAGCAGAAGTATAATATGTCAACAACAAAATCGCCTATTTTTTGCAAACAGTATCATGAAAAATATAAAATACCTGGTTAAATTAAGTTTTGAATTGTGAATATCAAGGAAACTATTTTATACTTGAAGACTAGTACAATAAAGCAAATCCCTGAATGAAGAGGCACGAGGACCCCACTCTTTGCATTTCATTTTCAATTTCATAATACAGATCTGAAATTGAGAGTTGGAATATATGATTGCTTTTTGCCAATATTTAATTAAAAATTTTCAAAACGATATATCATCATAAAAACCCTCACAAAATAATTTACCCTCGCCCTCATTAGTGTATTTTTAAAACCAGAGATAAGAGAAAATATTTAAGGAAATATTTAAATATTAGATAAATGTGTTTGCAGATAATTAATCAAAAACATAATGGAAAGTTCCTTCCTCATGCACGCAAATAAACTTGAACATTTAAAAAAAATATTTCCATTAAATTTCTTCCAGAAAATGTTTGATTTTCTTCAGCTCTTTAAAATAAGTAATGTAAGGTAATTTTCATAACAAGAGTTATACAGCATATTTGTCTGAGAATTGTCTTTTGAAAATAATATACAGATTTGTTACTAGATTTTTGTATAGAGGAATGAATTAGCAATTATAAGAACAAACAATACGGTGTTATTTTCATAGGATATAATGTCCAAATAATTTATACCCTTTGTTGTGAGAATTGCTGCAATATTTTTGTTTGAATGTTATAAAGTATCACAGAATATTTATTATTAGACAAAGATTGTTTTCAGTTGTTAAATTGTAAGTAACAGATGCATTGTATTGGATATACGTATAGCAGGTTATTTTAAAGGGGTGCATATTTTGGCTTATTTTGGCGTTTTGGTGTTAGCCCACTCCGATTTTAATCCTTAAAATATTCCGTGTGTAAACAGTCGAAACTCTGTGTCCACTAAAATAAATTCAACCAAAATAATTTGCATTATTTAGAGCAGGCAAACTGCCAATTTTTTACATTTGCCAAGAAAACACGCTATACGCGGTAGTCTCTATGTCATAAAATAAATATATTAATACCATTGCATTGCCCGGATATTGCGTCACATGTTTCTAGAAATTGGCAACTGCTACAATTTCCCTCACAGTTGTATCCATAGAGTCCATCCGGGCATTCTGAAAGTAACAAGAAATATTTTTATATGTAACATTTGTATTTATACGTTGTACAGTGAATCGGAGGGACTATAGGTTTCCTCTACATCTGTCCGTCATGCTCAGTTATCTATTTGTCTGTTAATCTGGCTATCTAACCGTTCTTCTGTTTGTCTGTTAGTTTTTCTGTCCCAATTGGTATTCCGCACTCTTTTTCTAAATCTTGCAGTTATTTAGCCCAATTCTGGAACCTTGATTATCAATTGTGCATATTGTTCCGTTTAAATGATTTTTTTACTGAAATATGATATTTTCAATTTTAGTGGGAAAACAGTTTACACTTGCCTCTAGGGTATAAGTATAGCTAATGTAATTTTCTCAGAATGCTTGTTATCATAGGATCAAGAAGCCATTGGTAGTAAAAATTACGATGAAATCACTGAACATGATTTTCAGTATTTCGACGCGGTATTGAATACAGCTCCGCGTATTTTTAAGTTTTTGTAATTTTCGCACAAATATCAGTCACATTTTTCTTGAAATGGTAATTAACATTTCATTACGATGATATAATTCTAAGTAGTAATACATATCTCTTATCAAGGGTGAATTATTATGTTTTACCACTCAAGAGTATATCAAAGTCCTACTAAGTATTATATGTGATTTATATTATATTATACTTTCATGTAAATTAATTGAATCCGATTGATCGAGAAACATTTGTATAAAGAAACTATTACCCGCTGAATAATGAAGCCACGACCTCCAGCGATGCAACAGTCAAAATTGCTTGACGACGGGTGATATTCCAAAAAATAGCGACTGCGCATAATTTATGCGCGCACGGTTCACTGTTATATTTGTATAAAACATCCAGTATAATATAATAAATATTGCTTGTGTTTGAGTAAAAAAAATTCACCCCTCGAAAACCATTGTCAACCTCGGCTGAGCCTCGGTTGACAATGGTTTTCTTGGGGCTAAAAATTTAAAATGTTACACTCAACTACATGCAATATTCATATATTATTGAAAGGGAAATAAAATTAAAATACATGTAACTAAAAAACATCACTTATATAATATATTATGTAAAAAAATTCACCCCTCGAAAACCATTGTCAACCTCGGCTGAGCCTCGGTTGACAATGGTTTTCTTGGGGCTAAAAATTTAAAATGTTACACTCAACTACATGCAATATTCATATATTATTGAAAGGGAAATAAAATTAAAATACATGTAACTAAAAAACATCACTTATATAATATATTATGTAAAAAAATTCACCCCTCGAAAACCATTGTCAACCTCGGCTGAGCCTCGGTTGACAATGGTTTTCTTGGGGCTAAAAATTTAAAATGTTACACTCAACTACATGCAATATTCATATATTATTGAAAGGGAAATAAAATTAAAATACACGTAATTAAAAACATCATTTATATAATATATTATGTTGCCTCGTTGTATAATGTAGCATTCTAAATAATTATGTGACTTAAATATATAAATAACTATATGTTGAAAATGAATTGTTTTAAATGTGCTCCTTGGTATTAATCAAACATTTTGGATGAGCAAGTCTGCCTTTCAAAAATTGTTCAACGTGTAGACCTAGGGTCAGGGGCACTTCTTATTATAATTGCTGAATATTGGTTGAAATGCATGTTTGTTCCCATTCCTGCCTATGGGTATTAAGTAAACAAACTAAGCAATTGCTAAGTGTATAGTTATGATTAGCAATGGTGCCTTTTTCAAAATTGTGAGTGCTATAGCATCTAGCTTAAAACATGAAACAAATTCAATCATTTGAAAGTTGTTGCATGATGATGCTCATGTGACCTATAAGGCCCATGGACCTCTTGTATTTTAAGGAAATGATAATACTTATCCTAGACATTCTATGTTTGTGTACATATTACTTTGTGCGTATAATTGAAAAAAAAGACAAGCATTTTGGTAGTATTACATTTTAGCAATACTTAATCCCATAGCAACAAATTAAATTGCCGTTATGTCATCAAAACTCAATAAAAGTGAAAAGATGCAAATCTTTGTCAGATCTTTTACTTGCCAAGGTAAAGTCACATACCAAAAAGCAGGTCAATATCTGCAAGCGTTTAAAAAGAAATACTGGAAACTCTTAAAAATTGAAAAAGGTCAGCATTTCGTCAAAAATCAAAGAAACATGAACTGTAACTTATCATAATACGTTTACATGCCAAGAAACACCTCAATATCTGGAAGTATTTGAAAAAAAGACGGTAGATCAAGTGGGATAGATTGTCAGACAATCAGATGTACAACTATATCGTCAGACGTACTCTGTAGATGAATAAATAACCTTTAAGACAACGGTTTCACCGGTAGGGACTAAAAATATTTGAATGATACGGTATTCACAGCGGTAAATTGTGTTGTTTCAAGATTAAAAAATATATCATTTGCTTTATTTACGTTTCATAAAAATATTTGTTGAATGATAAAGTAGTATTTTGTGATGTGAATGGGTTATATTAAGTCACCTTGTGTACAAGTGTCTCCATGGTAACCTTTATCGCAGCCATTCAAGCATGACCCGTTTATGTGATGACATTGTTCTTTATTAAGACAAGATCCGCATGACTGAGCACAGTTTAGTCCAAATGTACCTCCGTCGCATTCTAAAGAGAAGAATTTTTTCAGACTTATTTTTAGGTAATTTGCAATAATTGTTCCTTCTTTGGTGAAATTGAGATGTCTTATATTTTTTGTAATTGTGCATTATTGTTTAACTTTCGGAATTGATTATTAAGGGTAAAATAAAATGCTAAGAAAAAAACTCAATACGATGTGTTTGTGAAACACTATACGCCCGGAGGCAACAAAGTTCGAAAGAACTATTTTTAGCATAAAGGTCACAGGAAAGGTCGCACGATCATTGTTCTTGGTGTCATATGATAGCACTTATAAAATGTGGAGTATGCACACAAGTTAAGAAGTCTCTATCTCCCTTGGTTCAAAAGTTATAGCGAAAGTTCGAAACAGCTATTTATAGGAAATAGATCACAGTCAAGGTCACAAGTTCATTAACCTCGGGGTCAATTAAAAGAACTTAATTAGTGAAGTTTGCATACCAAATTTGAAGTCTTATCTCTCACGGTTCAAAAGTTTTGGCTAAAGTTAAATTTGACAACAAAACAGACAAACGGATAAACAGACAGACGGGTCAAAACGCCCCAAATCTATCAATCTTGTCGCATAAAAATAAGTACTTTTGTTAAAAAGGTTTTTGTAAAACAATGGATAAAATATATCTTAAGTACCAGTTTCGAATGATATTGTGCATTTTTAGTGTATCTTTAATGATTTTAAATTTCTAAATCGTTTTTTTCAATAAAATATATATAATCATGATATAAAAAGATATATGTAATATATATGACAGATTCATTACTCTTGTCACATTTTATATCCTTCCACCCTGCCTGACACCCATTTTGACATTGCCCTGTTTTCCTGTCACATCTTGCCCGGTCTCCACAGTTGACGTCACACGTGTCTAGGCAGTTATATCCATACCGCCCTTCAGTACACACTAAGATAAAAACAGGAGGCCAATGGGCCACATCGCTCACCTGAGCACATGGCCTAGTTTAAAAAATATCAGCTCAGTATTGAAAAAATTACTTATTTGGGAAAGGAATTTGATGGTTCTTTACTTGATAATGTCACTATATCAATAAAGGATACATAAAGAATGTATAATTTTGCCATACTTGAAAAAAAGATTTTAAAAGATTTCTTGATCTCCCATTGTGACCCCTCGGGCACTATTTAAATGAATCTAAATCTTCACTACTTGCATTTGCTTACATGTCAATTTTAAACAAAACTTTTCTGTATTGGAGAAATTATTATTTTGCTATATATTCTTATGCAGAATTTTAATTCCTCATATATTGTGGCCACACTTTAAAACCGGGGTCATGATTTGAATAAACTTGAATCTACACAACCTGAGGATGATTTCAACCGAGTTTCAACTTTCCTGGTCAAATGGTTCTGGAGAAGAATATTTTAAAAAAGATCTTCCCTACGTACATGTATTCCTCTGCAAAAAATTTGATCAGCTATTGTGGCCCCTCTCTACCCCTGGGGTCATAATTTGAACAAACTTGAATCTACACTATCTGAGGATGATGCCACCTGAGTTCCAACTTTCCTGGTCCAATGGTTCTGGAGAAGGATTTTGAAGATTTTTTTTCTATATATTCCTAAGTAAATATTTGACCAGCCATTGTGACCCCGGCCTGCCCCTAGAGGTCATAATTTGAACATTTTTAAATTTACACTATCTGAGGAGGCTTCTATCTGAGTTTCATCTTTTCTGGTCCAATGGTTCTAGAGAAGAAGATTTTCAAAAGATTCCAATAATTTTGCTATAATTCATAATTATCTCACCTTGGAAGATGGTTAGGCTTTTCATTTAAACAAACTTGAATCCCCTTCACCCAAGTATACTTTGTGGCGAGTTTGGTTGAAATTGGTCTTATATAATTCTTAAGAAGATTAAAATGTGAAATGTTTACGACAACAACGCCAACGCTAACAACGAGGACAGACAATAATTTTCATCAGAAAAGCTCAATTGAGCCAATAAGCTCAGGTTAGCTAATGAAGACAGCCCTTATGAAGAGTAACAAAAGTATTTGTAATTTTGCTAAGCAAGGTTTAATTTTTTTCCCCTTTTGTATGATAATCAGATAGTCAAAATTATTTTTTAACAAATATGTAATCTGATGGAATAAATGAAACAATATTGAACTTTACTACAGATTATTGATTCATTAACCTTTTTTACATCTGTCTTTATGGTAACCCTTATCGCAGCCATTCAAGCATGACCCGTTAATGGGATGACATTGTTCATTTCCAAAGCAAAATCCACATGATTGAGCACAGTTAAGTCCGAATTTACCACCGTCACAAACTTTAAATAGAATATGAAATAAATATACATCAATGACATATTACTTTAATTTGTAACAATTCTTTTTATCACAAATGTTCTCGACTGTCCTACAATTAATAGATGCTAATGCTTTTTACAGTAAAATAATGTTGATATTAGATGATATATATACAGTCATGTACAAATTTGCACGAAATTATAAAGACGGAAATAATTTTAGACACAACACGTACATTTGCTAAATTGTCCTGAACGAAATGGAAAGTCCATATACAATAATATAATTTATTTGAATAAATTTAGAATGATAATTGTCTAAAATATTACGAAAAAATAATTTACAAATAGTATTCTTTATAAGACCTAACGACAGATTGTATTTGCAAGCATGATAATTGTTTAGAGAACAGTATATAATAATGTATTTTTAGTCAGTATCCTACATCATTTTAAAAATAGTTCCTTCCTTGAACATGCTCTTCACTGTCTATTAATGAAACTGTTTAAATACTCGGTGATATACTTAAACCAAAATATGAAGGAGACTGCAACAGATTCAGTAATACATGCGAGTTATCATTAATGAGTTATAATCATCACAAAAATAACTTTTATGGACTTTTATTATAGCACAAGTCATTAGTTATGATTGTATTCTTTGTCTCTCCCTTTCTCTCTCTCTCTCACACAAAACCATTTTTTCAGGAATGGCTTGTATGTCCGTACATTGTTCACATCGTGAGCCTTTCTGTCCAGCAATACATCCAAAACAAGTCCCATCCACAATGTTACAGCGTTCTTCACGACAAGTTTGCGGACACGGAAATGTGCAATTCTCTCCGTAAATATCAAAGGAAGGGCACCCTATATTAAGTACAAAAATACTTTAAATGACCATATTCAATGTATATTTGCTTTAGCTCTATGTTTGTTCAGAGCCAAATCTAGGTGAAAAAAGCACACAACAAGTTAGATAAATATCAAGGGGGTCCCATATTTCTGGTGAATTTACTTGATTCGTGTCAAGTGTTTGCAAAAACAAACACGAATGTTTCAAAATTTATATAAATTTAGAATCACTCGATGAATTGATTGGAGATCTCTTTGTGATTTGAAAAAAAAGCTATAGATGTTAAAATCAGCTTTTCTTCATTGATTTTTTTATTTAATTTTTCAATTACAGAACTGGATACAAATATGTAACATTGGAAGGCATATATCAATATCACTGACACTATTTTCTTCTCTAAACTTTATATGTGCTTTCATTTTCTATAAGAAAATTTTATTTGAAAATCCAGTTCCTGGAAAACAGGCTATGTGGAAATGCAATATTCTTCAATATTGCAGAAATAAGGTGTATTTAACTATCTCCAGCAAAGAAGTAGAATATATTCACAGCCCTAGATCGAACGATTAAAACATGCATGATCTAAAACAGATCATTTTCTATGTATTGCATATTTTGGCTGTGCATTATATGAAATATCGAAATAAATACTTTAACTTTTGGCAATATTTGAATATGGCGACAATGATGCATTAAGTGACGCACTACGGTTCAGCATACAATTCTCAAAATGTCACGTGTGCAAGTTTGAAAGAAGCGGTATAAACTTTAGGAAAAAGAAAACTTGCGTCCGATATATAGCTTACTTGAAAACAACACACGACAGAAGAAACATGCTTGCGAATCCAGAAATAACGAAACTTTGATAACGGTCAGTTTTAGTATCATACAAACAATAGAAGTCGGTAAATCTTTTTCGAAGCTTAAATATTGACAAAAATAGAAACGTGAGTTTGAAAGCTTTCTAAACGTGAACGCAAAGGCGAAGGACAGTTTTTTTTTTTTTGCAGACATCCTGAATTAATAAGACATTTAGTGTGGTGGAAAAAATGGTGCCTGTATTGGAGGGTAACAGATGAAATTGACACCCCTCGGAAAACCATTTGCAAACTCCGCTGATTGACAATTGTTTTCCTTGCGGTGTCAATTTCAACTGTTACCCTACAAAACAGGCATCAATTATACGATAATCAGATTATACGATTATGAAGTATTTTATTGTACTTCCTTATACAGAATAAGCTATGTATATTATAATTCATTACCATAAACCTGGACTTCACAGAGTTCATTGTACGCGTATGGAGAATATCCTTCAGGGTAGGTAACTCCTGGGAGTCTCTCATTGTAGTAGATGACATACCGTCCATGTTTTACACATTCTATTGTTATATTACTCGGTATCGTTTCCCTTGTGTAGTTTGTGTCTTTAAAACATAGATAGCCGTCATCTTTGTTGGTGGTGTTCGATATAAAAAGCGAAAATCCAAGGAATCGGCTTGGGTATCCATTGTCAGGGCCTTATGGAATATAATTAACTTTGAAAATGTGAAATAAAAACCTACAGGACCATGCGTTCATAAAATATGATGGAAATATCAAAAAACGAATATTCAATGTTTATTTAATGATTAAAAATTCAAATAAGTAAAATGTACGAAAATAAACACCATGTTCCAATATTCAATGTTTTTGCATTTAGTTAGCTATTAAAACCTTCCATAATTCGGATTTTAATTAACATAATACTCATGAAAGACTATTAAAAAGTAAGCAAATGAAAGAAAATATGTCTATAGAATACACAGGTTATCAGCTCATTAATGATATTAATGGTTTTTTTTTTAAATCGTAACTTCGATTACTGTAATAATGAAATCGGAAAAATAAATGTTAATTTTTTCTATATTGTAACATTAAAATACAATGTGAAATAATTAGTAACACCGTACCCCATGGAAGGTTATCCGTCCTGTAGTAAATAGTAATATGATGTATGTTGAGAACTGTTCCTAGATCCACCCGCCAGGTTGCAGTTCTTTTATTATTGCCAGATACTGTACATTGTCCTCCATATGGAGACCGGTTTGAAAACTCCCCATCCACGGCTTTATCCGGTGGATATGAATATTTGTATGTATACCAATGCTGCTGCCATGTTGGTTTCCTTAAAGCAAGATTTTCTTTAAAAAAGAAAAACATATTCATATTCATTTGGATATAGGTACCAGTATTTTTATATATACCAATGCTCCTGACATGTTTCTTTCTTTAAAATAAGATTTTCTTTAAAAAAAAAACACATTCATATTTAATTGGACACATGTACCAGCATTTGTTTATATACATGTACCAATGCGCCTTCTATTTTGGTTTTTTGAAGCAAGATTATCTTAAGAAAAAGAAATTGAGAGAATACCACTGTCTAATTTAGTTTCCTAGATATTACATGCACTACCATGCTCTCTTATGACAATAAGATGAATGTTTAAGAAAATAAAATCTTTACGAAGAACAAAGATTCAAATGCCGAAAAAGGTATTGACTGAAGTGTTATATACTCAACAGCAAATTATTTATAACTTTGCTTACATGTAAGCATTGCCTTAACCCAAAAATATGTAAAAGATATCTTGCAAAAAATTCTTCATATTGCGAAGCCCTGTTTGACACAAATGAAAACGCAAGAATTGAATGGCCATTTTTCTCTTAATTTATTCTTTAACTTATGAGTTACAAAAGTGTCATTTTTATTCCTTAGAGGTGATTAAGGCAGCAGAACTACAAGCAGAACGTACAATATGAATAAGTAAAAAGGAGATAATTTCATTAAAAGTACATTTCGAATTCATTTGCAAAATAATCGAAACTTTTAGAGACAGATGTAAAATATAGTATTGTTTGGTAGATTTAGATATGTAGAAAAGCTTTTACCAAGTACATGAACTTCATTGACGAAAATGTTTAAATGAAGAGACAACGAATGAAAGTCATGCATTGAAAGTTCCGTAAAAAATTAATTAATCTTACCATAAGCCTCTGCTATTTTCCAAATCAATGAAATTTCACCAAGAAAATAAATCAATGCAGCTCCACTTTTCATGTTTGAAACAGAATAACATATATGCATAAAATGTTTTAGAAAACCTTTTCTGAATGAGGTAAGAAAGCAAAATGAATGCACAGTTTTCTTCTAGGCTTTATGAGATTTTAGATATATATACAATGGTCATTTTTTAAGACGATTCTCGTTGTGTTATACAAAGGAACATGTATGTAAGAATAATAGCAAATGTTACTGACGAATTTTAGAATGAAAATAGCTACTTACAATGTATTTCCTTCTTTTTATTTCCTTATGAGAAAAGTTATTTTTAGAATAAAGTACGTCTAATATATCATATATTTTTCTCGTTCTATTGACACTCATTATCTAACAAATAATAATTGCCTCCATTTATTCAAGTTACTAATTTTTTTATTATTATTTTTTTACAGTTTTCTTTAGGATTGTATTTAATCCTGGTCGATAACTGATAACCGATATTTTGACTCTCAGAGTTTACTTTCTCTTTCAATTCAGAGAAGGATGTATAAAAATCTAGCCTTTTAGAATTGAGACATTTGTTATCAATTAACAGTGATAATTATCATTTATATAACAGTGATCTTAACAGAAATAACGGAACTTTAGTGTCTGCCATGTTTCTTTCATATGTAGATGATTAGACGGAGGCTGTATGACAGCCTCCGTGTATAGGGATTGTCTTGCCCATAGAATGTAAACAGGAAGGATTTCCCAAGCACCATCTATCGGTGGAATTGTTTTCATTACCTTGAGAATTCTATTTTTAGAGCGACTCTGCGTTACACCGACCGCAAGGATAGGCATAGTCTAAAACAAAGATCGCGTCCCATACAAGTATAAACAAACAGTTCTACTTTTTTTAATTAGACAGGATTTGTCTAATATTTTTTAAAATGACGTGTATATAAATACATTTCCTACGGAATATGTAAAAAAAAAATGTGATTTACTATTATTTTTTTATCAGACAGAATATTAGGAGATTTTGTTCCAACAGACGATGATAAAGCATGTTTTACAATATGCTGAGCCTTTTCGCGCCGGTTCTCACACCAAAACAAGAACGAGAAGAAATGAAGTGGCGGATCTAGAGGGAGTTGGGGGGTGGGGGTTAACATCTGCGGAGAGTGATCGAGGAACCCCACTTATCAATTGCTTTTTTTATTAAAGTAAAATCTATCTCTAGTTACAGATAAGTTTAAACTTTAGTTTTATATTTAATATTGTAAAAAACTTCCACCAGAATTCGCCTGTGTATCAAACTAAGTGTGGAGACGCAGATGTACCTGTATTATGTATTGAAGAAAATCCTGCTATGTCGCATGCAAATGTTTTATGTCGCAGGTATAAATATAAGATATTTCAATAATATATCAAGCATTTCAGTTTTAATGGAATTTTTTGTGCTTGATTGTTGTTTGTAATCTCATTTTCATTCCTTTTCTAATTTCTTTTTAAAAGGATCGACCGATAAATTGGTTTGCGGCCGATTTTTGACGCTTGCATCAATACGTTTCATGGAGTTTTTTAATCTGTCAAAGATCGATGAATAAACAAATGCATAGTATTTTTATATGTAGGAATATTAACAGTCTAGTTTTGAATTGTGTATAATTTCAGGAAACACATGAAAATAGATTTACACTTTCTTCAAGCGGTTTGAGTGTTTGGGCTACCTTCACATTAGATAAGAGAGAAACAAATGGCAACTCTAATATTGAGATCAAAATACATTTGTAACGTTTGACCTTGGGTACAACCCAAATCTTGGTTCATAGGATTTACATGATTTATCACATTTTATCCTAATTAATAATTAAAAATTATATCTTCTGAAATAAGTTGTCTTATTGTCATATCGTTGATCCTTATTTGCATTTGATACTTATGTTTTACCTCTTTCACATCCCAAACTTTAATTATTTTTATATACAAGATTACATGTATTTCTAATCATTGGTATTCATGTCAATTTTTTTAACCTACATCACTGGTAAAGTGATTGTTTTAACAGAGTTACTGAAAAGCAGAAATCGTTTATATATTTATAACTTTTCTCTACGTAATTTGTAATAATGTCTCATTGGTAATGATTGTTTTAAACAGATAAACTGAAAAGGACAACCATTTCAACTGGTATACGAGTAAAGAAAGACATTTTTTGGGTTAATCTGTCATATGATAAAATACTACATTTAATAATTCCAGAAATATTGGTTGTCAAATTTGTCAAGATATATCTTTGTTATTGTAAGCAAACTCCAGTTCTCCAAAAACAATTTAAACTTGTGAAATAGCAAGTCTTATGAACTTGATTGTTCTGTTTACATAAAGTAAGAAAGTATATTTTATTCCACTCAAAAAATTGTGTTCTGGCACGAACATTTATTGCATGTTAATGAAGTTGTATTACTTAAAGAAAATTCTGCTTTCATGCTAGGTCACCCCATTTGTATCCCAAAGGTTTAAGACAAACTGTACTATATTATGTTGTTCATGTCCAATTACCTGGCTGCTTCTTTTTCCATGTTAGCTCATATCATAACATTATTACAATAAGGCCGAGAAATTTTGATTTTGGTAACTGTTACATGTCATAATTATGTTAACAGTAGGTCTCTGTAGGTCTCTGTGACCTATAAATAAGATATCTTGAAATATGGAGACTCCTGACAGGCTGAGGCCTAGTGCTGAATCCAGAAATTCTGAAATAGGGGGACCAGTTTGAGGTCAGGGAAGTGGCACACAGCCACAATTAAAACACTCATTTATCAAATATTGCGTATTTTTTGGACTCAAAAGGGAGAGGGCATTTCCCTTTTAATGTGTTTATGCCAGTGGGCTCATGAAATTAGAAACATAAATAAACCTACAATCATCAAAAACGGGCCTGGGGGCATACAACTTTTCCAAGCTCACTTTTATATAACCGGTATCACTTTTCCACTATATATTCCTTAAGTGAGACTGGGATAAAATTAGGGAATTCTATTTTATGTCAAAAAGGCCTAGATGTACTGTTTCTTACGTTGAAAGGTTTAATATTGAAAGTATGTGTGAAAAGAACAGTGAACTTTAATCAAGCCTATGCATTACTTTACAAAGATGAAATTATAATATCCCAAAAACTTCATGAATATTGGAGTATCCTTTGAAAAAAATGTTGAATTGAAAAAAAAAAACAACACATTATTCTTTTGTGTTCTCTCATACATGAAGCCTCCGTCTAACAGTACTTTTAGTACTTTGATTTTTCTGACTAAACAGATAATTGTCAGCTAATCAGTAACTTGTCTGCACAACAAACGGGATGACTTAATCTTTTCAACCTTCAACTCTCTTTTTGTCTTAAAAGTCCATCATCACATGCATAATACGTCTTCTTAATTATTCGACGCATAAAAGCATGCACTCAGGTACATATTTTTAGCGGAGGAAATTTACTGACACTTATTAAGTAATTGTAAATCATTAACCTCATTAATCTCATTAACCTCATTTCATGTCAGCTTTCAATAAAATCCTTTAACGGATGTTAATGGTTGACTTGATAGAAGACCTAGATTTGTTGGGTTTTTTTTCAAACAACTATTTTAGCAGTAGTTTCACTAACTTCAATTTCTGAAAGTGTTTACCGTAAAATTAAATATTTTCGGGGGGTCAAATTATTGTGGTTTAAGGGAAACAATTCAAGATAGTGGGGATATAATTTCGTGGATGAATAATTGTTTAGAAGTAATATTTGTGAAAAATTATATTTCATGATGGATATTAATTTCTGGGTATCTTCATAACTCGAAAAACACGAAAATCAAACTCACACGAAAATAAGTGATTTCATAGTAAATAGATTTTTGATGACGCTATTTAAAATTAAGGTAAAACTAAGGTGTGCTCCATCTTCTTAATCAATACATATAGCTCAAGGAAGGCATCAATCTAATTAAAATTGGATGTAAATCCTGTAGCCAAGTATTATCGTGTTGGTATCTTTCTACACAAATTGTCAACATCCCATAGAAGGTCACGTCAGAGTTCAAACTCTATGTATCAATGAAATCGACACCTGCATCATCGTATATTGTTGAGGCGAATAAATTAGAAGTGAAAAAATTTGACCTAAGAGAAAAAAGACCCTCTTTGGGATGTTGTTAAATGTTTGTGTATAAAGGTTATTAATGTACTAATTTTAAAAGTTAATTTTTTTTATTGGGTAGGCAAGCTCTTCGACAGTTTTTCTTATTGGACATCTAATCCCCTCTCTGATATTGTTGGTGTTAATTCCTCTTCAAGATTTTTAATCTTGTTTTTTTTTTTTTGCTATTTCGGTTGTATTATTTTTTGAAGGGGGGGGGGCGTTTTTTAAAAATGAGATTTATACCTGACAACATTATATGTAAATGTTCTCTTTTGTTCAATGGTGTGAAACTATCGTCAACAAAAACCTTGAATATTGGGAATATTGAAGACTTTTGTAATTGTTATATGTACCATGTTCCAGACTTGCTGCTTCGATAAATGTTTCTATCACGCTTAACAAAAACAAGGTCTATTTGATTGTTAATTTGATCAACTTTGTACATAATCCATTTAAAAAAAATGTCCATCTGGAGAATGTGAAAATCGCCTTAGATAGAATTCTTTTCATTTAAAATACAATCAAATAACCAGATAAAAGGATTTATGTAAAATTTCCTTATTATTGTAGTAAAGTTTTGAAAACCTTTTAATAAAAACAAGTACACACTAAAATGTTTAAAACATTGAGACTTTAATGTATTCTAAATTTACTCAGATCAGACATGTCAATAAAATTATTCATTATTGCCTGTATTTAAGAAAATATGTGTATTGCTGTATATGAATGAACTAATGTGATCTAAATGCTTAGTACATTATTAATGTCATATTAATGCACTGCAGGGTAGTCTTGTTTTTTTTTCTTTCGGTGATAGTTTCTAAGTGCCCATTAGTAACAGCTATTAATATTAGCGTCATCTCTATCAAAATAACTTTTGGCTCCAAAATGCGTGGTTTAAAAGTTTTC